GATTTCTCGACGATCGCATAGTCCGCGTAAGGCAAAAATCTTGACAGCGCTGCTTAGGTATGACAAGATGGCAAACTGCTTTTCCTGTATTTTAATCCAGTTCTGCGGAATCTGTTTTCGAACATCTTTGAGTAGAATTTTCCTAGGAACCTCAATAAGGCAATGCCCCAATAATGTACGCATTCTATATGGTCTGCCTTCTTGAACAAAAGTACTGCAACCACGTCCGTCAACTGATTTCTTTCCAACGGCCACTGCAGTTTAACAGACACGTGTTAGTCACAACATGCCTTGATTGCCTAAGGCTTTAAGCATTTCAGGGCGGATTTCAATCGATTCGAGCAGCCTCGTCACTTTTCACGCTACGGCTTCTGGAACTTCATCCACTGAAAAACTAAAAACCTTAACTATGCGTTGTACTTGAGGCGGGTCTTCATGCGGTTGCTCGAAGTCAACGAGTTATTCAAAGTACTGTATCCAACGCTGAAGTATGTGACCATTACTGGTAACAGGGCGTCCAGACTTGACATTCAGGACTATTAGACCGCCCTTCTTTCCATCTTCGAAACGGCGTATGGTCTGAGAAAATATCTTGCCGGCCGTCTGCGAATTCGACTCGATTTGACGTGAACAAGCTGAAAGCAGCCCATCTGGAAGGATAAGAATGCGGCTCAAAAAACAGTAGCATTGTGCTTCAATGACTACGGGGAAATGTTTACACAGAGACGGAAGAACATGTTTTAACTTCTACCTTTTCAAGCCTTCGGTCGGTGTCTGCTGTCCAACAGCGGTGCCAGCTGCTCGATCGACTGAACGGTAAGAAGAACGAGGAAACGTCTGTTTCGCCTTCATAGACATTTCTGACTCAGCCACTCATCCGCCCGCAATACCCACAAGTTCCAGCATCATTGAATAGGGTGTTAGTCTATCAGGAGATCCATTGGCAGCGCAGAAGAGGAAGGAAAACCATCCACTTTAAAACAAGTCCTTCACTACCCATAGCCGAACAGCACATTTCCAGCAACCTAATGACCACTCATAGCAAATAACGATCCAGCATCATCAAACAGCACTAATCCTTACATTCCTGAGCACAAACAAGCGCATTAAACGATTCGTCAACGTCCGCCGCCTGTACCATGTATCGAACGCAATTTCAAACCAGTGAATCTGGCAAAATCACACTGACCACAAAACTGAGCAATAGACTGGAGTACTGCAGGCTCGGATCGATATTACTTTACGTCTACGGAATGCAAGTAAAACAGTAGAGCAGTACAAAAACAATTAATTCATTTTTTAAAGTGCCCGCGGTACTTATTAAAGTAGCTGGTGTTTCTCGAAGAAGTATCATGCGGAACGAAGCATGGGTGTTAACTTAAATTGCATAAATAATTTATTGAAACAAATACGCATTTATTTTGATTTATAGCTAAATAAATTGAAGACAGGCTGACGAGTGTGGACTGCTGTCTAATTTAGAACAAGATCCACAACTAGCCTGCACCTCAATGTGGCAAACCATCTGCAGGAAGGGTCCAGATTGGTGTATTATTCACACCCACCCGTTTGGATGAAGAGACTGGCTGTTAACCGGATTTGTTGCTTCGGTTCTGCAGCGATGCAATTAGTCGGGCTGTAGGCAAGAGGCAAATTTATTTTATCTCGGAACTTGTCTCTGAACCTTTAACTTTATATTTGTGCCTGAAAATAAAACAAATTCACCTATATACAACCCGACAAAACTTGATCCGTTTCAGAATCCAAGCCACGAATCCAGGTCCAAAATCGTTCGTCATCCAAATGGGTGGACATCAAACTGGGTCCCTTCAGCAGATTGTCCACCATCATGAGATGCACGATCGTTGCGCACCTTGTTCCGGAATGGAAATCGGTCGCGCGCTCGCCAATCCGTCATTAATTTATTTTAACTATAAATCAATTTAGATTACGCATTTATCTTAGTAAATTATGTATGCAATTTAACTTGAAACCGGTGCCTCATTCCGCTTGAAACTTTTACGGAAGACACTCCACCTGCTTTTGTACACTACTGAAAATGTGAAGAATCTACAATCACATAAACGTCGTACTAAATTCAAGGATGAAATGGAAGAATCCGAAACCGGCATTTTCACAAGAAGAACGTGATCCTCCAAAAGTGGTAGACTTCTTAATGAAAATCTTAAA